GGTACTTCTCCCAGTTGGGGGGAGGTGGGCGTGGAGGTGGTGGGCCCTTCTTTTTGGGGACTCCAGGGGGGTCCAGCTTGGCACGGAGAAGGTTCCTCCGGTCGAGGCCCCGGGGGCTGGGGGGCTCCAGGTTGAGGTGGCTCTCGGAGAAGGCTCTGCCCCGCAGTGGGCGGTGCAGGGGGTCCGGGGGGCTCTCGGGGGAGCGGGCCAGGCGGTCACCATCCCATGAGAGGTCGTGCGTGGACGTGGCCCGGTAGCAGGGCGGCCACTCCAGCTCGGTGCTCTCAAAGCAGGGGCGGAAGGGGCCGAGCCTCGGGAAGCCCAGTTGGTAGCGAGAGAGCTCACTGGGGAGAGAAGGGGGCACCCATCCCCGCCAGACAGAGTCACCCCCCGGCAGCTCATGCCCACCCCTGCCTCAGTTTCCCCAGCTGGAGTCACCCAGTCCCACTGACGTGGGAAGCCCGGGCTCTCCCAGTGCCCCCATGCTGGGCACAGCCCCCCAGACATGCCCTCAGCCACCTGGGGATAGGTAAGGAGGGACCCACCCCCCACACGGGCACCTCCTTGCATCTCCAGGCCCTGCTTGCCCAAGGTGGCACACACCCCCACTTCACAGGGCACAGTGCGGCTGTGCCCGGGGCATTAAGGGAGGTGCTTTGTACATCACCAACCAAAATCACAGCAGTCCCCACACCCCACTGGCAGAGGTCCTCACCAAGTGGCATGCACATCCCAGCACCCTGGCACGGGCTCACCTGATGGACTGGCTGGCTTTCCTGGTTATTGCTGACGGTTCCCACTCATCCAGAGGAAATTCCTGCATGGGGGAAGGAGAGGGACCGTGAAAGCGGGGTCAGCATCCCTGTCCCCAGCACGCAAGCTCCCCAGCACCCCCTGACCCATCCCCATCTGGGCGCAGTAGGCATGCAGGGGGTCTGCAGGGCCCCCCGTGGGCACAGTACCCCCCACCCCAATCCAGGGTCATGCTCTGGGGGTGCAGGGTGGTGCAAGTGCTGCTCCCCGGCACAGTCCTGGGGCGCTCACTCACCGGGCTGAAAGCTCTCCGGTGGGGCCAGGCATCGCTCTC